TATATATATATATATATATATATATATATATATATATGTGTGTGTGTGTGTGTGTGCGTAGAGAGAGAGAGAGAGCAGAGTGAAATGTGGACAGTGTGTATTCTACACACTGATATGAACAGCTAGATGGACCCAGTTCCCTCATCTCATGAAACAAGAGAAAATCACAGATTATCCAAGTAACCGCTACACAACAATGATGGTGACTAGCTTTAAAAAGATGACAAAGTTTTAACTTTGTTGTCACAACCATGGGCGGATTATGAGACAATGTGCCCCTGGGCACAGATATGAAGGAGGCCCCACCACCTCTCCTACATAGGCACAAGACACACAAACCTAATTTTAGTTTGGCCTATTTTTGTTGCATCTGTTTGTAGTAGCTATACACGCATCTCTCTGTGATTTTGTGTCTGTCAGCACTGCCTACTTCCTCCTTTTTATTATAAAAAAAGTCCCTTTGCCCAGACAGCAGCAATTGGCAGCAGAGCCATCCCAGTGATGACAATCAAATCAAAAACTTCACTCAAAGTCACAGGGGCCATAATTATGGTAAATTTAAGTAACAGTAATAGTATGTATAAATGTAGGAATGGCAGGAAAATTACATCATCAGCTGTCCATATCTGAGGCCTTCAAAACTGAACCTCACATAATCAGTTCTGGACCCACAACCCAAATTTCAGCACACAACCCCACATCCTGCCTCACTTATCCACCTATTCCTACATTCTTATAGCTAACTTGCTGCCCGTGTTCAAGAGGAGTAACAGTGCTTCCATCTTTTCGGGGTCAAGACATATCAACATACTACAACACATGCCCCCAGTGACCCAAGAGGTCAGGCAGCTGTATCTTCTATAGTTTCATGCCACAAACTCATTGGCTGAATGATTGTTGCTATAGCAACTTATGTTGTCCATGACAGGACCTGATTTCTGTTAAACATTGTGTTGTATCAGCAGGAAATTTCATTAAAAGACACATTTTTGAATTAAGTATTTATCTTTATTGATTTTTTTAAACAAAACAACAAAAACAAACAAACAACAGAGACAATTAAAAATTAAATTACAACATGTCCTTTACAATACTAAATGGATGTGTTGCAGTTGTTTAAGACCATAAATATTTTGCATTGAATTAACAAATTCCATACAGAATGTAAGACAAAACAATGTCATTACATTAACTTTGTTAAAGTATGTCTTCGTGCTGTGTAGCAAAATACTTTTAAAAATACAGGGCAAAAATTAAGTACATTTTAAGTACAATTCAATTCACAGTTAAATAAAATGGCAAGACAATATTATTTGAAAAGGTATCTAGACATTAAATGTCAATGAAAAAAAGGAAATGCGATAAAAGTTCTCAAGTGCATATGTTTTTTATTTTTAACATATTATCTGTCAATTGCTTTTGCAAGTGTGTGTCTTGTCTTGCTCCACTTAATCACACTGCAAAAGCTATTTATCCAGTCATCGACGATCTTTGAATCCCGCTATGAATCCGTCAGCATCTGTGCAATAATCAGTAGCGCAGGTGACAAGACTGCCAGAGAGAGCACTGTAGGATGAGGAGGACTACTTGATGTTGATGTACCTGAAATATTAGTAAAACAATTGCATTAGCAGGTGAAATCCTCTGTACTTATAACAGATTTACACTTATTATAGGAACATGAAACTTTCCACTGCAGAGAAATTTCACTCCATCTACAGTCTGTTCTCGGCAGCCGAGAAAGTCGGGAAAGATCTAATTTTTAAAGTTACATTACAATCAGTGCATGGGGAAAAAAAAGAAAAAAAAAGGGAAGCGTTTTATTTTAGGTCCTTGTAATAAGCGTTAGTTAATATGTAATAAGGTGCTTATAACTTCTTATAAGATGCTTATTAACATTATGCTCAAGGTTGATAAAAATGTGAAGAAACAATTGCATAACAATCTAATGTTTCAGCGGTGAAACACAAAAACACACTTTAAAGGGCCAGTGTGTAAAATGGGTTGAAAACCGTTGGAAACAGTGACATCAGTGGTCAAATTCTAGATTGCAGGGCTCACTCGCTCACCCCTCCCGTTGGGTAAATGACGGTGGCCTTGTAGGGACAAAAAGCCTTGCGCACAAGTTTTTCAGGAGTAGGTCTATCTAGCGACGAGGTGAATGTTTATTTAGAAATCTAAACCATGTTATGATATTGTAATGAATCCCTCACGAGCAGGAGACCAGAGGAGCGTTCGGGAAAAAGGCCCGTTTATTTGAGCACTCCAGAAACTCCGGTAACACTCCAGGGGGTAAAAGACTCCGTCCCAAACTCTGACTCTTCTGGCGTAACACACACACTCCATAACTTTACACACATACTCATTTGCCATACTAAGTGGGGACCCCCTCCCCTCTCTGCTCTGCCAATCTCCAGCCCGCACACTGACTGACAGCGTAGCCGGTAAACAGTGCTCAGCTGTTTATTTAGCCTAGTAATATCTCCGGACTATAGTAGCTGCAATGGACGACTTTGAACGCGATTTTGAAGAGTTTCTTGTAGCGGACACAGACCCAGA